TGTTAGGACGCAAAAAAAACTTTTTTATCGTTAATTAATATAATGTGGAAACGTTTCGGTCTAATTTTAGATCCTCCTACTCGAATCTCACGTAACCGGTGAGGTGAAATTAGATTGAAACGTTTCCACATTGTAATAATTGATAATAAATATTTTGCCTTCTGACATCCAAGCTTTGATTCTTCTAATTTTTCTTCTGTTTAGTCACAATTACATTCAAATTCTTTTAAATCACTTACACTAATTAGCAAAAATCCGTAAAACGCAAAAAGTATAGCAAAATATGAAAGTAATACGAGAAGTATTATATTGTATGCATCTTCGACAGCAAAGATCATCCTGCAATGTAAATTGACATATATCCGTACCGTATATTGTACCGTTAATTTAGCAACCATTATTATTAATATTAGCTGGTATTCATAAATTATTTATTATAAATTAGCAAACTTTAAAAATTTAGAAAAAAAACTATAATATTAAAAATATAATACCTGAGTAACCGAATATGATACATCACGACGTCTTTCAATGCGTCATGAAAGCTTTCGCATTCATGTAAATGCATAAGGCGATTCTTCAGAATATCCAGCTGAGCACAGATATGGAATGTTAGTAATCCAAGAAAAGTATCAATTCCTGTATAACATAACATAGCAATAAAGGTAGAAATAGCTTGAAAAATAAATGTTAACTCGTGCTGCGGCCTCTTTGTTACATCGTACAGATAATACGTTTGTAGAGGTAGTGGTCTGCCTGGATCTGTGATGTTTGGTGTCAATCTTATTGCCTTCCCAAAAATAGGCATACCAACAAACAATATGTACGCCATCCCCATTATGGAGTATATACATATAATAACTATACGTGCACGAAGCGCCCATCTAATCATCGTTTCTCTTTCATACGTTTGATTTTTTGACTTTTTCCAATCTTCCACCATCATATTTACAACTGGTATAAGAGCTTTAAAAATATTGAAAATGTTAATAGAGACAACAAATTTTCAAATATTATATTATAAAATAAAAAATACTTATATTATAAACTGTTAAGCGCTCATTAAATTGTTAAAAACTTTTTAATTAAAAAAAATCAAATATTTGATGTCACAATTTTTTTGCATAAAAAATACCGTAAACACATTTTTTGCAGCACTTTTTGACACAAAAAGTTTATTTGTATCTAAAACGTTTTATTTTACATGGCATATGCTCAATTGCTTCTTAATCAATTTGTCCATATTTTATATGAATCACGAATATCTTATGTTTCTAAATCTTACAAGACATTGTTTTACATCTACCTTGTTTTTTCCACCAAAATATTACAAGTCTTAGAATGCAGGTGATACCCGGTAAAGTGGTTTGTAAGTTATCTATTGCTAGTATAATATCCGAATGAATTCTAATCAATGAATGTAAGCAAGGAATTATAAAACCGGTTAACATCGTGATAAAAGCAACCAACACACGTAAATTGCATATTAACTTCTCTCGGAGATTATGTTCCGACTTAGGCCAGAGCCCAAGCAATTTCAAACTAATGCGATTCAGTTTTACTGCCCATTCGAAGTCTTCCTATAGAGATTTCGACAAGTCAAACTTTTGTAAAAAAAAAATGATTTAATTTACAATTTTAGGCTAATGTCGCATTTAGATTTGCACATTAATGTTTGTACTAAATCTAACAGTGATTATATGTTGAGAACAAAGTATCTTGAAATATGTAATTTGTTTTGTAAATTATGCAAGTTAAAATAATAATACATGTTATAATAATAAGAAATGCGTATTTCAGATTGTTTAAAGATTCAAAGCAGAAATAATTAGCTATATGCTACAAAAATAATATAGCATAAACTAAGACACTTTTATGCAGAACTAAATAATGAGAATACATTTTACACAACACAAGTACATGTAATGGTATCTACAACGATCGTAATGCTATGCACCTCTCCCGAATAATTTGAACTATCCATATCGAGTGTTAGCTATAGACTGACCGCTGCCTTTCCGCATGAATCGATGTTACCTTGTATTCAGCAAAAAACATCCATCACGCCTGCACAAAGTTCAAAAGTATGAGACGAACGATGAAGCATATTAAATAAGTGTTTGAAATGTTTCTCGCTTTTACGCAAACGTCTAAAAATGTGTCAAAAAAATTGCTTACTATCGTGTGAACGAACACTTGGTGGAAATAACACGCACATACGCATCTGTTATATTTCCACACAATAAAAACGCTTCACATGACATTAATAGATATACGACCGACAAGATCTGTGCAAGATATGTCGAACATAATTTTTCAATCAAGATAAATCCATTATAGAAGAATATTTTATTTAAACACACAAAATATTATATTTCTTAATTAAGTAGCAATTTGCTTAAGAAACATATAACATATTTCCTCATTAATTATTTTTATATTAAACATATAAAAAATAAAAATTTGCTACCGAAAGGCGACACATTAACAACAGAATATTTTAACATAAAGATATTTAATTCAATTTTTAATTTTTTCTATGCTTATTTTTATAGAAGCATATTATTTTTATGTTCTTTCAAAATCTTTTTCTCTTTTTTTTTATTTATATATACAATATATATTTTAAATTTTTATTATGTTTCTGATAGAAACACATGTACAAAATATCGTAATATAATATAATATAATATTTTAAGCAAAATGTATAGAAAAAATGTCTGGATTGCTGCAATAACACCAACACAACCTTAGTAGTTTTATATTATTGTACAATTTTTTTGCTTTATGCTACAATTTTTATATCTAAACAACAGCTTCTTTTAATTATTGCATAATATAATGTTAATACATTGTTTATACATAAATGCAACATTTCAATACTTACCTATTTTTTATAAATAGTTTAAACTGACATTCCAAATAAAACCGATATATAACCTGCAGATGTTTTCAGTAGCTGAAAGATGAAAATGTCATAGCAGTAATACTTGTAAAATAATTTATATCCAATATAAATGATTCATTCATTCAATAATATCTTTGTATAACGCACATTATACAATACAACTTATTGCAACATAAAATACAATACAAAAGGTTTGAACTTTTGATTACACATTAATGCCTTACGTTGGAAAATGTAGCCAATGTCATGGGAAACACTTTTCCCGCGGTAAGATAAACCGGTTTTCTGCTTTTAATTATTAAAGGGATCAAATTTTTGGCTTTATTTGATCCCAAAGTGTACCATTCCTGATTGTACACAGCATAATAAATTGTATCACACTTAAAAATATAAATACACTTAAAAAAATAAAAAATACTAATATGTTCGACTATTAATTATTATTTTTTATAAATTAAAAGCTAAACTTACTTGCGCCATCAAAAACTCGCCGACAGCGCAAAAGAGGCACATATGAGCAAATAAATTAATAACATTGCTTACGAGATATATCAAGCGTACGATTGATACTTTATCCTCTTCTGTGATCAACTAATTCAATTATGATCATAACTATAAGTAAGTAAACTATATAAAAAGTTTTTACAATGATTCTCAAATACTCACGCTAATAATAACAAATCCATAAAATGCAAATAAAACAGCGAAACATAGAAATAATATAAGAAACAGCACATTGTACAAGTCATCCACAATAGTAATGGCTCTATAAAGTATAATATTTCACATATTATTTATATTAAAAATTAATTTAATATTTTGTATGTACTGATTTTTCCAAATTTATTTTTAAACACAAATTTAATAATTAAGATAGTTGAGATAGCAACAATTTTATTATAAATTAACATAGAAGAAATTAAAGGACAAAAGAATTAAATAGTATCGTAAATAATATAATATTTATAATAATAATAATAATAATTACACTATTAGTTATTCACTCATGCAAATCAAATAGAAAATGTAAGTTCATATTTATCTATTGTCTTTTTGGATAAAAAAATTCTTGTTCTAAATAAATTGTTACACATTTCATTATTGCAGAATAATTCTATTCAGAAAAAAACAAGAAAAATATTAGACGATACCTCAATAGTCGTGTGTGATCCATCACGCAATTCTTTAGATCGATATGAAAATTCATATACTTATCTAAATGCGTGAAACGATGTCGAAGGATATCCAATTGACCACAGATGTGGAACACTACTAATCCAAGAAAGTTATCGATTCCCGCGTAGCACAAAATAGCAAAAAAGAGAGTAATGGAATACGTAATATATGTCAGCTCATATTGCGGAGTTTTCATTACGTCATATATATAATAAGTTTGTATCGGTCCAGGCGTTGGTCTGCCTGGATCGGTAACATTCGTCAAGTATTTTATGGGAATTCCACAAATAGGCAGAATGACAACAAAAACATATGCCAATCCCATAAGACAGTATTCAATTGCAACGATTTTGCGTGCACTTTCGGCTCTTCTCATCATCACATTTCTCTCTTGCGCACTTTTCGATCTTAACCAATCCTCGACCATCATATTTATTATCGTTGCTGTAGCTTTAACAAAGTCAAAAGTGAAAACTTTATTAATAATGAGCAATAATGATAAAAATGTGCAAATAGTTTTGTTAAATGAATGTCACTGAACATCACTGAATCCCATTTAAACTGAAAATATATGATAACGCACCTTCTTTCTTCCACCAAAAAATCACAATTTTTATTGCGCAATTAAGAAGCGGCATGGTAAAATGCAAATTATCAACCACTAGCATAAGATTCGAGTGAGCCACAATCAGTGAATGTACACCAGGAATGATAATGCTGCATATTGTCGCAAGAAAAATGACCAACACACGTATATTACACATTAGCTTTTGTTGAAAATTTTGCTGAATCTTGGGCCACAGTCCCGTTAATTCCAAACTGACACGGTTCAACTTCACTGCTCGTTCGAAGTCTACCTATATAAAAGTTTAATAAAAATTGAAACTCTCACAGATAATTAGTTAATATACGGATTCACAGATAATCAAATAAATTTACAAAATGTCACAGCAACTAAGTACAGAAAATAAAATGTTTTATAATATTAAATAAATATTTTTACATTTTATTATAATTTAGTCATAATTCCATAGCAAAATAATAAAATGTTATAATAATAATTTATCTGCATGCATACATATGTTTACATTATATAAAGATAAATAATTAAATAATTTAAAAAATATTATTATATATAAGAAATTGAAAGTTATTATTAAATTCAAAAGAGAAGTTGTTGATATGTTAAAAAAATTTATATATAATTACTTATATATAATAAAAGGTAACACACACACACACACAACACACACACACACACACACACACAC